GTATTGATCATTAAACCATTCCAAAACAAATCAAAATATACCGAGAGAAAATATCTCTCCTCTATTTCCTTCCCCCTCCCGCCAGATTCTGGTGACTGTTTTTTTTTTAATAGTTGCAATAAAAATAATCTTGAGCAAAAATCAGAATTCTTTTCCATGTGTTCCAATAAGTAAGACTTACATTTCAAATTAGAAAATGGTGATTCGGAATTGGAATAAAAACAATTTTAATTACAGATCATAGTTTGTTTTTCAAAGGGTTTATAGTAAGTCCTTTCTTTTTGGAACACATAGTAAAGAAAGCTGATTTTTTTGTTCAAGATCTTTGTTAGCCCAGCTATGATCTGCGGGATGAGTGCAACAACCCAAACACTAATTGTGATACCCAATACACACACACACGTATATATATATATATATATATATATATATATATATATATATAGATAGATAGATAGATAGATAGAGAGAGAGAGAGAGTGAGAGAGAGTATTAAGGCAGCAGATCCTTATTCAAACATATTTTGTTAAATATAACAAACAACGAATGTCTATTATATTTGATTATGAGCCGTTCTAAACTTTGTATATTTGCTTTAATTTCGACAGAAAATAAAGACAAAATTTGTCCCATTTCTAATCTTAGTTCTATTAACAACAACAAGAACATAGCCATGTACATAATATTAGAGAGATATTAGTTGATAACACAATAATATTCCTACATACACACAGTAAAAAGAACTTTCAGATATTGGAGGCCATCTACATTAAAACAAAGTAACCCATATATCTATACATATTCAAATATATATATATATATATGTACAAGTATATGATTGGTTTATATGAAATAAATTCAACTAACCAAAAAATACAATTCTTAAAAGAGTGCTCAATACAAAGTAAAGGAAATATAATTTATTCAAAAATTATGACATAAATATATTATAAAATATATAATTTATTTGAAAATTATAACATAAATATGTTATAAAATCACTACAAAAAATAGTCATTTTGTTTCAACATTTCTGGTGTCTTATTAAATGATGATGTTTAATGTAGAATAAATTATATATATATATATATATATATATATATATATATATATATATATATACACGAAATGGTACTTCTCTAACTACTTTTAAAAATCAAATCTCACTAAACACGTGTTATGTTCATTTAAAATCCATCCTTGGGGTTAAAAAAAAGAATGCAAGATTTCATCACCACACATTAGTATACATATACGCATATACTTCCGGGCATAATTCTTTTCAATTTAAATATGAAATAACTTTCTTCTTCTATGTGCCCTGTCTCTTTAGAATGTGGTTGGTCATGGCTCTCCACAATTTACTGTCATTTGCAGATCTTATTGGTATCTTTCTAAATACCTTTACCCCCAACCGTTTACACAAATATATTAGATAGGCTATTCGTATCTTTACACTGCCCCTACTCCATATTGTCCAGTGAGTGTCAAATTTTCTAATCCCACTTTCCTCAATATTTTCCCAATAAATTTCAACTGTTTCTTTCTGGTGACTGTGTATAGGCATCCTTTTTGTTTCAATTTCCTCTAAAACTTCGTTATTGCTCACATGTTCAGTCCATGATATTCTCAGTATCATTCTGTAGAACCACATTTCTGCTGGCTCAAGTCTCTTCCTTCATCTGGTGTGAGATTTTGTCCAGGATTCACTGCCATATAGGACCAGTGATATGACATAAAATGAAAAAAAAAAAGAGGAAGTAATTGCCTGTTCGAAACCAAACTATAGATGCAAACGCCAAGATGTTACCTTTGTCAAATTGTAATAATAATAATAATAATAATATATATATATATATATATATATATATATATATATATATATATATATTCTTTATTGTACCCATGGCCTTTTTTGTCATCAATTTCAGTTACTGCAATATTTCTCATTGCCTGTCACGCAAGTCTGTCTTGGTCTTTTTTCCCGTCACGTTCAAATGTTTTGTTTCTTCTTTTATTCCATTATCGTCAGACAACTTTCTTTTTATGTATTTATTTTTTATTTTTTTCTACTTTTGGTCGATTTCCACTGCAAGTGTTATTCTCTGTCTCTGCTTTTCTATTTAACAAACTTTTCAGAGATAGTTTCTGTACTTTGAACGCATTTTATGTACCCAATCTCTTTCTCTCAAACACCTGTTCGATTTCTTCTTTAGAGTCCACAGCTAATATTTTTCTATCATTTTTTTTTAATCATCTCTTCCCAAGCAAGGCAATAAAGCCATTAAAATGCAAGGAGTTACTGAGTATTAGAGAATGTGAGGAAAATATTATTAAGTAAAGAAGACAATAGAATTAAGAAGACAAACGATAACGATTGATATCCCATTAACATTTTGGAAGATCAAAGTTGACTCGGAAGCAAGAAACCGGAAGAGAACTCCACAAATGAGAAGTGCAATAGAAGAAACTGTTAGCATAGAACTTACGGTTACATTTCAACTGTAAGATGATGAGAAATTTTCACCAATCTAGTACAGTGCTTAATTTCATAAAGTCTAGCTGCTATAGACGAAAGTTTATCGAAAGAATTGCCATTAAAGTATTTATAGACAAGACATAGAAAAGGTAAATTCCAGCGGTAGGAAAATAACTAAAGCCGATATGTAGGTCAGGAAAAATAACATTGCAGATTCTTTGGATTTCCTCAAAAATATTTAAATATATATCAGGCGCGCCAGACCAGAACGTCTAAATTATTGGAATTTTGTCGATCACTGTTACCTTGACAACGAGTGTGAACAAAATGATCCATTAATTCAAGCCAATTTCACGTATAACATTGTTTTCATATGATAAAAAAAGAATTACCATAACACGATGATTTACAATTTCGTCTTGCTCAATAATTCTATATGCATGAATGTTGATTTGTGCTTTACTAATTCATCTTTAGTATATAGCCTTATAATCAACAAAAAAGAAGTCCAGATCTTTAGAAACCTATGTTCTGTTGACAAGAAAGAGGAATTCGTACCGTTTTTACAACTCCTGATTAATCCCAGCTAATACTGAACATTGTTGCAAGGTTTCATTTGTGTTTTATTTGGGTTTGGATATGGGACTGTGTGGCGACATTACGGTAATGTTGCACCCCACTATTTTCCAGAGCCCCAACTGATCGCTTGTCTCTAACATTCGTCACATTTTGGTAAGGGTGCAAAGTGCTGGATCTGAAAAAAAATTTGCCCTGGTCGATTATAGCAATCAGAAGACTTTTTTTGATAACGCGTGAGAAAGTCTCGCTAGATAAGAAAGAAAAACGTGTAGCAGTTATACATGTAGAAGATACATGGGGCAATATCTTTTGGGAGAGTTGGACAAATGCTCTCCTTAATGTGAAAGGATTTTAAACTAACTGAGCTGTAATTCGAACTTGGTTCGTCGATTCATTCATTTTCGCTGCTGTTGACTCAACACGTTCAAGAATTAGACAACCTCCACCCCGCTCGATGAATAAAGGAATGACAAAAGTAGAAAGAATGTCAAAATATAAGAAGGAAGATTAGAAAGAGGAAAGAGATTGGCAAGATTTTGAAATTTTGACTGAAGAAGAATTTTAAAAAATTAAAGAAAAAAAGGAAGAAAAAATGAGATGAAATCAAAATTAAAGAAATGAACAAAGAATGATAAAAAAATGAAGGAATGAATGAAATGGTGAAAGAAAACAATGAAAGAAAAAGAATATGATATTAATGATTATTGAAATTAGAAAAACAAAAGGGAAGATGTAATAAAATAACCGAGAAAAAATAAAGAAGGAATCGTTGAAAACATAAAATCAAAGAAAACGGAAATATATCCTCTGTGTGTGTATGTGTGTGTGTGTGTGTGTGTGTGTGTGTGTGTGTGTGTGTAAAGGGTGCAGCAAAAATATATCCCAGTTATACCTGGACGAAAGACCTCTCACATAAGGCTAAGACATTTGTGACAAAGGTGCCTTCCTTTAGCTAATGTCTTACTATGTCGTGGGAGATGATTCTAGGAGTTATGTGTCTGTTTATCCGTTAAGTAAATGGTCTGTTTTTTTTTAATTAAACTATATTAATTACATTCAGGCCGATTAATGCAATTAATACTGTGTAAAAAAAAAAAAAAAAAAAAAACAGAGCCTTTACTTAAATAAATTGTATCTATTAAAATAACGTATAAACAGAATATTCTCGGATTTAAATCATTTATATATATATATATATATATATATATATATATATATATATGGAGAGAGAGAGAGAGAAACAGAGGGAGCAAAAGACAAAGATGGAGAGATAGCGATAACAACTTATCTGAAAAAGAAAGTAGTGGAAAAAGAAAAAAGACTTTGCAAGTAGGTAAAAAACGCTTATAAAATAAAGAAAGCTCTTGTCAATAAATAAAAGGAAACGAAAAAAAAAAAAAAGAATTTATGTTCATCCCTCCGCCCCGCAGACACAATACTGTGTACCTGTGTGTGTCTCTTTGCTTGTGTGTCTGTCTGTATGTGTGTGTTTGTGTGTGCGTGTGCGATTGTGTGTGTCTGAGAGGCTTTCTAGTCACTTGAGGTTCTATTGCATATTCATAGCGTATTCCTAACGCACTGTTCTTGTTAGGGGTGCCCGGCTTGAGGCTACCTAACGAGTTCTGTGATCTGAACGTGTGGAAAGACGAACGTGCGAATTGGTAGACGCCATTGTATGAAAGCTGCGAGCATCGCTTGAGATTCTTCCTCATTTAATAAAACTCTACGCATAAATGTCGGAAATATTAACGATTCACAACAGATTCCACTCTTTTCTCTATTTATACAACTTCCTTTAACTAACTTATGCGTGCGTTAACTTAGTGCAATGAATATCTGAAATACGTTCTATCTATGATGCGATGGTATTTTAAGAGTTTTATCATAGACGAAATCTATCTCAATCTAGTCATTTTTAGCTTTTTTTTATCAATCTGCCTAGCTAACGTCTTTTCCATCTATATCTATCTGTTCATCTATCTATCTTAGTATAGTAGTATCTATTATCTATCTATCTATCTATCTATCTATCTATCTATCTATCTATCTATCTATCTATCTCTACATTTGCATAGACTCGAAAGACTTCCGGTTTGGTATATATATATATATATATATCTATATCTATATCTATATATATATATCTATATATATATCTATATATAGCTGCTCTAGTAGACAGGTATCCTCGAATACGCGTAGTAGCTATGCTATATATATATATATATATATATATATATATATATATATATATATATATATATATATATATATATATATATATATATATATATATATATATATATATATATATATATATATATATATATATATATATATATATATATATATATATATATATTTATCAGTGGAAGCGGAGTTTCATGTACAACGCATTTGAAAATTGCGTTGTGCATGAAACTTGAATTTTGTTACCGCTGAGAAATATATATATATATATATATATATATATTTTTTTATAAAAAAAAATTTATAACATAAATATGTTATAAAATCACTACAAAAATAGCCATTTTGTTTCAACACTCACGGTGTCTTATCAAGTGATGATGTTGAATATAAAATAAATGATTTTAAATGTTTCAAATTAATTAACGATACTTTGTATTGAGCACTATTTTAAGAATAGTAATTGTTGGTTATTGTAATTCATTCCGTATATAGCAATTATATACTTGGGTATATATATATATATATATATATATATATATATATATATATATATATATGTATGTATGTATGTAAAATAAAATTTTTGCTTTAATTACACATTAACAGCACTGTTTCATGCTTAGTGATTTTATTAAATTCAGTGGCTCTCTGTTATTAACGTCCCCGACGTTTATTCTTCTTTATACATTTTTTTTTGAAAATGAATCAGTCAATGTGTTGACAGTTCGAAATAATTTAATACCTTTTGTTTATTAAATGCATAGATTACAATTTCTCTCTTTGTTTCTCTTTATCTTTGTTATTAGATACCATACAACTAATGGTGTTTTCTATATCTTTTTTTGTTCCAAATATATTTTCACAATATATTATTATATCTTTCGTATTTTAATTGTAGCATATGGTTTACATATCTTTCTTTAAATTCTTTGCCAATTGTTCTGATGTAAAATCATTTCTCCCTGGTTTTTCCAATTGTTATATTTTTTCACCTTATGTAATATATTTTCTTGTTGTAATTTTCCTGTAGTGGCCATTGGGTTTTATTTCTGCAATTACATATTTTTGCTAGTGTTTTTGTAATGCTATCTAGTATTTTTTTATGTTTTATTTATTATTGGTGCAATGTTAGCCATGTAACTTTAACTAATTTCTGTACAATATTTTGTTAATTTTCTTAATTTATGGAAATATCATTCTTTTTGTGCAATCCACGTTTTCGCAATCCTGATTTCAATGTTCTACTCACCCCTGCATATCCAGTGCCCATAATACAGAAAGTCATCAACTGACTCAGTATCGCTTGGATGCTCAACTCCTGATTGAATGACATGAAGTCAGTTTAGTTCACACAAATGTGAAAAAAAAATTTGTCTCGCAAATGCTTCCATACTTAACAGAATTTTTGAAGCAAGTACATGCACACGCAATCCTCCACAGACATTTCGACAAATAACAGCGTATCACAGTTTTTAAAGATCCATCAGAAATGTAAGATTTATAATTAGATATTTAACCCACTGTTAGAAGTGTTAGCCTTTGTCATAACCCCATTGTTCTGTATTGCTTTCATTTATTGATTATTAGTTTTCTACGGCTTATCAACCATTTTTGGGTTATTTAAAGCTAGAAGCTATTTTAGATTGTAAGAATATATTTTTGGAGATAAGAACGGTTTAGTGATTCAAGTCAAACTAATTAACCCATAAAGTGGGGGGAGAAGTTATGCCTCCAAACCTTTCCCTAGGTTATTTCCGCGTGAGTGAATATAACGAATCTAATGGGAATTGGACCGAGGCATTAACTATTAATCCATCCGCACATCCAAGTTTACAGCACTTGGTATTCTCAAGGTGTCACCCATGCTTACGGGAACCAGTTTCAAAGTGATGTTGCAGTAATATATCGATTCTCCCGTCGGGTTCGACGTATGAGGGTCAAGCAGATCAGTTTCCAGGAAACTGACAGCCTGACACCGGCACATGAGATTCGATTATAGTGGTGAAGGCTTCGTGCAGGACCATCCACACTTTTTGAAGAGCCGAATATAGAGACCTGGTGCACTACGTCCCCAAACAACCCCCCTCAGGTTTTGAATTCAGAGTTGTCCTTCTCCTAGACCAGTTGCCATCCGAGGCTATAGAACCCAGTCTGTTCTGCTATTTAACCCATAGCTGGAGGGAGAAGAAGAGGATTCACACCTTTCCCAAGGATATTAGCACGTAAGTGAATGTAATGGGTTTAACCTGGATTCGAACTCGGCTCTGCAAGCCGATATCCATTACCCCACCGTAGTGGTAATATTACTCCATAGCAATATATTAATATATATATATTAATATACACGTGTGTGAACATAAACTAAATAACAAAATATTAGCAACTATATATGCGTGTGATAACGTACATATACAGATGAGCAAATAAGTATTTATTTAATTTATGTTGTAAATAAAATAGTGCTCAATGTAGTTAAACAGAGCTATAACGTATATTACTAAATACACATATACCTGCGCTTATCGTGAAAATAAGAGTTTCATGGTTTCCTAACCTGTCAGGCACAAATTTTAAATAAACTACTTAATACAGTTGCTTAAAAAAAAATACTGGATCTCATGGGTGGAACAACAAATTTTATACAGATTCAAAATTGAAAATTATTATAAACTTAAATACTATTGGGGTATAAATTCAAAATATAGGGTGTTGCTGGGAAAGTGTGGGACATGTTTTTACGTTGGTGGGAGAAACACACACAGACACACACACAGACACACGCACTGATGGTTGGCTATTGCGTAAAATGTTGTAAAAATAGGTTTAAGTTAAAAATTGTGAAGTATGAGGAGTAAGCAATATGATTATGAAGTGGGGGTGGGCGCTATGAATTTACGTATGTTAATAAGTAATCTGTATATTTCAAGAGAGTAACATTGCGCTGTATATGGAGCCAACATTTAATAATGTTAGAATATAAGTTAAAAAGTCAGATAGACAAATGAGGTTAGAAAGTAAGAAAAAGGAAAAATCCAAAAATCAAAGAATAAAGAACGCCATGATGTCCATTACGTTATAAATAGACATTGATTGTAAGGATGTAAGGGAAGAATGCGTAACAAAAAATATTAGGGGCAGGTGAAAGTATTCAAACAGTAGATGATGGGTTAATTGATCTAACCAGAATCCAAATACTTTACAAGAGAGTTTTCCTATGAATGCATGTTATCATAAGTTCGTTTTGTTTGTTCACTAGGTTGGTGTTATTAATGTAATTGTGGATGGGTCGTTTCTCTAATAAACAAAGGTTATATTTATCACCGCAGCCGGTAAAGGGTGTGGTTTTAGCGATAAAATCCCAATTTACTATCAGTGTGTAATTATCTGTTTTAATTTCCCAGTAACATTTGGAGAGTATCGCGGCATTTGAATATTGCTTATTGGCCAGTGTCATTTTATGATTGTAATACCATGTTTTCCAGTGGTTGGCAGTGGAGCCAAAATAAAATTTAGTCTCGCCATTGTGTTTAAAATAACGTCTTTATTCATATGTTTATGGTTTAGCAGACTGGTACTGTTTTTTTGACATTTACACTTTTTGTCAGTATTAATATTGCTACTGATGTTGTTTAAATATTTGTTTAATATTATATTATTTTGCTCTTTTATGTACTACTCAAAGTTTTTGGTGCCGCTGGGTCTTTAAACTACAATCTTCCATGATTCTCTCACGTACATTCATATCTGCTCATGGCGTATCCAAATGTAAACAAATGACGTCACACATTATGAAATGGACAAAGTCCGACAATTATTTTAAGACATTTTTATGTTTATACATTCATTTTATAGATACAAATATTTAAGTAAATGCTCTGTTTATAATAAACAGTATTAAACAACATTTAGCGGCCTGAATGTCTGAGAAATTTTCATAGAAAATATTCGTCCTCCGACAGGAATCGAACCTGTATCCTATACGGAACCGTCATATAGCCTGACGTGTCTTTAAAGAAAGTAAAATCGACCTTGCTAACCGAAAGCTCCTCTGTGGCCTAATCAGTTAAAGGAACGTCAGGCTATATGACGGTTCCGTATAGGATACAGGTTCGAATCCTGTCAGAGGACGAATATTTTCTATGAAAATTTCATGGACATTCAGGCCGGTAAATTTTGTTTATTATAAACAGAGTATTTACTTAATTTGTTGATAGATGAAATTTTGTTTTTAATCCTTTAACCCTAAGCAAGGCAATAAAGCCACTAAGTTGCAATGGGTTTCTGCGTGTTAAAGAATATGAGAAAAACAAAACATTATTAAGGAGAGAGAACAATAAAAGAACAGGAATTAAAAAGTTAGAAAATAACGATTGACACTGCATTAAAATTTTTGAAGGTCAAAGTTGACGGGAAGACAAGAAGCCGGAAGGGAATTCCACGAACAAGAAGTGCGAAAGTAGAAAGCTGTTAGCAAAGGACTTGCGGTTACATCTAGTTATGTTAGTTGTAAGATGATGAGACCTTGCCGCCAATCTAGTACTGCGTTTAAATTCGATAAGGTCTAAGCTCATCAGAACAATTACAATGAAAACATGTGTGGCAAAGGGATAGGGAAGCTAGGTTACGGTGGTGGGTACGCTGAGATGACAGGTCAGAGCCAATAAAATTGCAGATTCTTCGAATTTTATGAAGAATCTCTAAATATATAGCATAAGCACAAGGCCAAATATCTCCTCCATCTATTTGCTTTACGTGTGCGATCATGGCTCTCCACAACTGTCTGTCTTTTGTAGCTCCTAATAAGTTTGCTATCTCTCCTAATCCTTATATTGCCAATCATTTACACAAGATTGTTAGGTAGGCTGATAGAAAAATACTTGATAAAAGTGAATGATTCAAACTATATACGGCAAAAAACACAAATTAATATAGATAAAATAAGAGATACAATATATACATACATACGCACACGCAGACATACGAGCGCACGCACACTCATAAATATATATATATATATATCCAGAAAGGTAAGTCACATTTAATAATCAGCCATTTCTTTAGCTATTTTTCTTGAATATTTTTGAACTCATTTTATTTCTTCCTTTTTTCTGGTTCGCTTGTCGATCTCCATTTAACTTGATCAACCTCTTCCAGTGTCGTGGTGTGTTTAAGTTGGCGGGAAACATTCGCGCCATTCTCGATTGCATCTTGAATACAGGTCAATGTGCGCATGCGTAAGTAAGTATCTTTGCCGGAGAAAGAATGTGATCTGGTTGGTAACACAGGCGAGAAACCGAGGACAGGCCAAACAAATGAACGTTAGTGACAATCGACAGTGTTTATTGAATCCAACAGACAGCGGTAGAATGAAAGAAAGGCAACCCAATGAGGAAGTAGTTGAGGAGTGTGGGGTTGTGAGGAAGAAGGCGAGTCGCCTTAAGTAGGGCTATAAAATGTAAGTCTTTTCGAATCGACGAGAAAAAGAAAGAGAAAAGAACACAAAAGAAAGTGAAACGGTTAGCAGAAACGGAAAATGGGGAATAAAACGAACGAAGGACATTGTTGGTATAGAATATGAAGTTTTTCTGAGGAACATGTTATACAGACAGACATACATACATACATAAAATATATATATAACAATAGTTCTTGGTAGATAACGATTTATATACAGAAGGATACATTCCGATATCTATCTATCTATCTATCTATCTATCTGCAGAAGGATACATTCCCATATCTATCACACTTTGTTAATATCTATCTATCTATCTATCTATCTATCTATCTATCTATCTATCTATCTATCTATCTCTCTCTCTCTATATATATATATTTATATATATATATATACAGAAGAATACATTCCCATATCCATCTGTAGAAGACTACATTCCCATATATCTATCTATCTATTATCTATTTCTTTCTCTTCTTTTTCTCTCTTTCTCTCTCTCTCTCTCTCTCTCTCTCTATATATATATATATATATATATACATGCAGAAGAATACATTCTGTTATCTATCTATCTATTTTAATATCTCTCTCTTTCTCTCTCTCTCTCTCTCCCTGTCTGTCTATCTGTCTCTCTCTCTCTCTCTCTCTCTATATCTCTATATATATATATATATATATATATATATATATATTCAGAAGAATACATTCCGTTATCTATCTAATCTATCTATTCATTTTCTATCTATCTCATAGTTAAAGAGTTAACAATACTCTGTCAACACGTCTGTGAAAAAAAAAGAACATTAAAAATTTTGGAGGTGCTTCACATCAAAAGAAGTTAAACGATCATTAATAAATTTGTTTCAATTTTGTAGCGCAAGTGTTGAGATAACTGAAAGCTAAAATCATTTCCCGCGCCAGATCAACTTCTTATGTTCATTTTAAACTTCGGACCATTACCGGTATAATTGTTCGACTGGCTATCTCTTACTTTAATATGAGAAAAGATGGATGAATATACACGATTTTTTTTTTATATCTAATATTAAATACAAGGGATGAAACTTGTGTGACGTCGTCCCCCGGTCGCAGCGTCGACTGTGTCGTTCGATCCTGGTCACGGCACCAGTTGTGACGTCGTCCCCCGGTCGCAGCGTCGACTGTGTCGTTCGATCCCGGTCGCGGCGCCAATTGTGATGTCTTTGCCGCGGCGTCAGCTGTTCGCTCCTCGCTGCTCCAAACGTGACGTTCTAACCCTTTGGTTAGATTGATACCAGCCTCACCGTTCCCAACCCGCTTCCAACGCCTGGTTACCAGGGTAACTGCACTGATCTCCAGTCTGCCTACCACGTTGTGAATTGATCTTAGACAGACGAGATCAAACAGGGGTTGGGGCCGTAATGCAAGTTGAGTCTAACGGGGGTGATAACACACAATTATGTATAAAAGAAAATAAAATAAAAACTCACAAGGTCCAACGTATCAAAGAAAAAGGTAACAAACTTTTTATGTCTAATTGCTCGGTACATAGGACTATGTCTGATTTCCGACCCGTTCTGTGGATTGTGGCATGACGCTTTTACTATGTTAATTTCTATGTTAATTATGTTTTATGAATATGTCCTGAAGATGGTCTATTAGACTGAAACGTCCGACGTTGACATTATATTAACATTAAAACAGCATTTATTTTTTCCGTATATTTTTCTTCATACTGTTGGATCTATATCCATATATTTGCTTATATATATATATATATATATATATATATATATATTTGTGTGTGTGTGTCTGATAAAATATAGTCTGGCGCTAAAAATTCATAATAAATAATCAATTATAAAACTTTCCTAAAGAAGGAAATAGCCACACTCACCTTCCCAAACAAACAGTAATTAGTAAATAAAAGATCAGAATTTTTCTTAATATGCAGGCTCGAATACAAATTCTACTGCGTTACCAAAAAAATGGAAAACTAAAAACTGATATTTTGTAAAATATTACAAAGTAAAATGCAGATATATTTATTATGATCAACGCTAATAACGAAATATACTTAAAGAAATAATGCCTTCAACGGAACAAATTTGATACCCACTCCAAAAATAAACAAATAAATAAATAAATATATAAATAAAGGAAATAATAGACAAACTGTAGGAATAGATAGATACCTACAACTATGTAAATTTAATAATAATAATAATAATAATATTTAGAAACAAAAAAAGAATAAATAGAAAATAAACTTAACTATATAATGACAAAAAAACCTCATTCCGGCCCATGAAATCATTCGAATCAAATGCCGTAAGAATGATCCAAAATAACCGTTCTGTCCTATTCTACAGCCGTTAGAATAAAAAATAAACTGGCAATAGCTGAATTTACTATCCATAACAGAAAAAAAATCGAGCTACTATCAAGCCTACAGAGCCTGTAAATTGCGTTCAAGCCTAAAACAGACAGTCTCCATTCAATACTAAATTCTCCGTGTCCACATTGCTGATTAAATATACTCTATCCCGGATGCATTTGTTCTATAAATATAGCACACCTTAAAACTATTTTAAATACCTAAAATATATTTTATAATATATATATATATATATATATTTTTTTTTTTGTTATCCACAAAAATTTCAGTTGAAGAGTCACTGCTTTTTAAATTATCCTTTTCTCATTATAGCTTAATCGGATTTCCCGGGTAAGCATATATATTGTCATCAACAGACAGACTGTTTCGCTGTATCACAGCTCTTCAGTGTGGCTAGACGTGTCATTGCTGCAAGACGGGATCGAAATCCAACTGATTTGGCATCAGTCAGAGATTCTACCTCTGTACGGCAGGGAGAATGAGAAAAGAGGTTAATTCATACCTTTCCCAAGTGTATTTACTCGTAAGTTAATATAATAAATCCAATGGGAATTGAAACTGTGGTCTCCGATTAACAATTCCGAGCCATTATATCATCCGCACATCCAAGCTTATAGCACCTGGTATTCTCAAGCTGTCACTCATCTTGGTACTGACCAGGATCGAAGTTGCTTAACTTCGGTTATCATAATCGAGCCGCTGTTTCAACGTGATATGACCATAATCCTGTAATGCGTTTTCGTGTTCCAGATGGACATCATCAGACTTAAATAATGTTTTTTTCTTGATGAAATGATGTATGGTGCGGGAAGAGGAGGGGATATATAAATACGCGAGAGTCGGTTATAATTATGTTCTGGCAGGAAACGTTGAAAGATTTTGAACGTGTATATATTAAATTGTTAAATTATATATATATATATATATATATATATATATATATATATATATATATATATATAATATCAGAGATTATAATAAAAAACATTTTGTAATCGCTACACAAAAGCTTTCATGTTTCAATATTATGATTGTATTTATTCAGGCGAGAACAAGTAACTGAAGAAATAGTCATAGTATTGAAACATTAAAGCTTTTGTGTAGCGATTCCAAAATGTTTTTATTATAATCTCTCATAATAAAAATATAATAATAATATATTGCTCTACTTTGTATTGAGTAATTTTTAAAAATTAAATGACACATACAGTGGATTACGTACTCTCTTTATGCTTTTGTGTTTGTTTAATCGCTTTTATTAAGAATAAAAGACAAAATAATAATAAGCTACAACGAAGGGAAAATTCACTCTATATCCTGTAATGACTGCTACAAAGAATGCACGGGAGAAACTTCTAGGAGGTACAGAAAAAGGTTTTTATTACTAGTTTATCCACATTTTGTTTCACGGCACTTTTAACATTCCACCTTTCTTGATAATTTTTTTTTTATTATCACAATGTGGGATATTTAATAATAAGTGTGATAAAAACAAAAAGCATAATTTAGGGTATATAATGAAGTCACTTAGGATGACTAGAACTCTGAAAAAGAAATTAAATCTCTCTTCCAGTTCAAACTCAGCGTTGCGACATCACGCTCCAAAAACAATAACTCATTTCTAATAGCATTTTTCGGATTACAACAGTACATATATTTTCGTTGTCCTCTTATTACTGAGAGAAAAAACAAGAACAAAATCTATTCCATACCTGAGGATGTCTGTAGGAACAGACGAAAGCTTGTAAAAATAATAAGAACTTATGCAACAGAAATTTATAGAAACAAGGATCTTTTCATTCATAAACAGGTTCGGGGTATATTTGTATATTATTTGAATTGTTCGCGACGATGGATTTCTCGCCAATTAAATCATTAACTTTTGTATTTGTTTTTTGTATGAATAATTCATGAATGTATATATATATATATATATATATATATATATATATATATATATATATATATGTGTGTGTGTGTGTGTGTGTGTGTGTGTGTGTGTGTGTGTGTGTGTGTTGTATGTGTGTCTGGTGTGTACCTGCATGTATATATATATATATATATATATATATATATATATATAGAGAGAGAGAGAGAGAGAGAGGAGGAGGACATAGTGTGGAATAAAAAGAGAATTTCAGTTTAACAAAGACTGAAAGAAATTCTAACGCATACCTGTATAATGAATATGTGTGTGTGTGTGCGTTTGTCTGTATGTTTGTCTGTGTGTAAGTCCGTATAATTCTATGTTTATGTAAGTATATGTTTATATACTTTCACATATAGCCAGAAACATGTATTTCTCTTACCAAACCGCTTTCTCTTTTTTTTTATTGTATTCAACTCTAATTCTTCTTTGTCAAGCATTGCATTCCGATACATGTTTACTTCTGACCAAATATTTTTTTCCGTACAGCTACTCAGAAAAAACATTCAAATGTATCTGACTTTTTATATTTATTTTCTATTTTTATTTTCGCATTATTTTAGTTTCGCATTTATTTTTATTTATCAAGGTTTCAAAATGGCCGACGCTAATCTTTGCTTAATTTTTTTCCCGTTTGCAATTCGAATCATTTTTACGCAAGCGTGACCTGAAAGAATTTTCAACTTCATCAAAGTTTCCTGCATCTTTTCCTTTCCCTTTTCGATTCGCCGATATTCTTCTGTCTCAGTAAGTATAAAATGAAAGAGTGTAAGAATGGGTGATGAGACAGGAAGATTGTCATGTTTAACGAGATTCATGCAATAATGAGCCTGTCCCCATGAATGAGACCCGGCATAAAATGAAATACGATAGACCTGAAGTGCTTAAATCATGCCCAATTTGAGAAAGGGTAAAAATGCTGCTTAAATGGAAATCAGAGCACTGAGATGAGAAAATTTGGGAAAAAGGAATTGGAAAAAAATTGAGACAGTGAATTGCTTGATCCGCAATTCTTTTCTTGTTGGAAATAATTTTCGTTTTTTACCGATTTCTTAGGCTAACCCCCAAATTTATTGGTAAGTATTTATATGTGAGAATACTCTTTATTCGCTTTTATTTCGGGTTGAGTTTCTTTTAAGAAAGTTTTCAACAAATTCATTCAAGTTTTTTCTGTTTCTTCTTTACTTTTTTTCTTTCCTATTTTTTTCGGTTTCTTCTGGAATTTCCTTTTTGCTTTTTCCAGACCCCCAACCTTTTTCCTTCTTTTTTAATTCTTTTTTTTTTTATTTCTTTTTTATATGTTTTACTTTACTTTTTTCTTGTTTCGTCTGTGATTTTATTCATTATTTAATGTTTCGTCGTTTTCTTTTCTATCACAATTTCTGGGATGGAGAGCTTTTACATGACTTAAACTCGAACTAATGTTTTCATCTTTGTTGTTAATATTATAACGTTGCGACTGTTGTCCACTGTAGCCTTCCTCAGATGCCTGTTGATATGGGTAACCTTCCTGGAATTCGAACCTCGTCATGTTCTTATTTAATATTGCCCAATTACAACTCGCCCTGTTTCCACTGAGTCTAAGTCTGTCCTACCCGGTCCAATTACTGACATTAAATTTAAAAAACAAAGATTTATTACCCGCAGCCCGTGACGTGCGATCACGTGATATGCAGAGTCGATCGAGAACAATTTATGCTCGTAGATTGCATAAAGGGATCATGCCGATATGTTGTAACAATAATGTTGAGAACATTAGTCAAGAACTCAAGGACACATGGCACAGTGGATAAAGGCATTAGTTAGATCCAGTGACAGGACCCAAAGAGAGTGAGTTCAATACCTGGTTAAGGCAGTGAGGAACTAATTAACGGGAGATAACTGATAACTGACACCCATTAGACATGGCACGTGGAACTAGAACAGTCTACCCAAGGGTTCAGTTCGATATTCCAACGGCCTGAAGAAGGACAGAGCCTACGATGGCCGAACTTTAAATATGGCAACAAAGATGAGGATGATAGCTCGAGAAATGTAAATAGTGTACATAATATTTTATCTCAGAAATATAGAAATACATCAGTCCGAATGTAAATAATCATTTTATTTTTTAATTTATGACATTTTGTTTTCTTTGATTTTAGAATTTCACTTTTTTCTTTCTCTCCAGTTTTCTATTTCAATTGAGATTTTCCACATTTTTTCTCTGACTTTTTCAACTTGTCTTTTTCTATATTGTTTTTTTTTTTTTTGCTTGTTTCTTCATTTATTCTTTAATTATTCCATTCAAAGCAAGCCAATAATGCCACTAAGTCGCAAGGAGTTACTGTGAGTGAAGGAAACTGAGAAAGATTTAGTGAAGAGAAAAGACAATAAAAGAACAGAAAGATGGTGATTGATGTTACGTTTAAATTTTTGAAGATCATAGACAGCAGGGAAGCAAGACAGCCGAGGAAGACCCACAAGAGAGAAGTGCGAGAAAAGAAACTATCAGAAAAAGACTCATGGTTACATCTATCTATTTGAACAGTAAAACGATAAGATCTAGTTGCCAATCTACTAGTACGTTGATTTATCTTCCAGACTCTAAAATAACACACACACACACACACACACACACACGCATGCACATATATATATATATATATATATATATATATATATATATATATATATATAGATAACTAGACTCGTTTCGAAAAACCCTCGAAATTTTGATTTGCTAATCAAATCAATCTCGAGGAAAAAAAAGGTTTTAAAAAAGAAAGAGCTACAAACATGGACTTCTGCCGACAAAAAAATCGCACAGATGCAGGTCTGAAGCCCAAAGAAAAAACCCCGATACGAGTAACAACTAACTAACAAAACTTTCCCTGACGATCCGTTTAGGTGAAACCTAGGTAGGTTTGTCTGGCTCACTAGGTGTAGGTGTATCTATATATATATATATATATATATATATATATATATATGTGTGTGTGTGTGTGTGTGTGTGTGATTTAGCTCTTGAAAATATATTTCAATTGAGCACTCTTTAGTGATAGACTAATTCTATAAACAACAGCCTCCTGCGTTAATGCAAAACTCTTCAGTAAAATGAATTGGAGCACTCCGGCTGATTGGCATTTGTTTACATTCGTAAAATCAATATGGTAGATTTAGCTGTTTCTCTCTGTCGAAGGAAGATATCTCACACTCTGACTGACACCAAATCCGTTGGGTTTCGATCCGGGCTTGAGGCATTCGTATGTCTAATCGCGCTGAGGAGCTGTGATAGAGCTAAACAGTACTGTCTGCGAATGAATTAGCTCTTGAAAAAATATTTCAGTTGTGATGGGCTAATTCTATAAACAACATCCACCTGCGTTAATGAATTGGAGCACTCCGGCTGGTTGGCATTTATTTACATTCGTAAAAACAATACGATAGATTTAGCTGTTTCTCTCTGTCGAAGCTCAATGTTAGAAACTCTGACTGACATCGGGCTTGAGGCATTCTAGTCTCACTGAGGAGCTGTGATACAGCGAAACAGCACTGTCTGCTATATATATATATATATATATATATATATATATATATATATATGTTCCACAAATATCGTTTTGAACAATTTTTTTCTTTTTAGTAATCTCTTTCATTTGTCGTAACGAAAAAAGAAGGAATCAAGTTATGATTCTTGTATCTTACATAATTGGATAACATCTTTTTATGCACACGTACATACACATATACATACATACATACACATGCATACATACATAAACTTACACAATTCTTTTATAATTGCATGGACAGACGCAGTCATTATTTTCTACCAGTAATCGGAAAATCTTTTACTTTTTAAAATAGTTTCTTAAATGATGACAAATTGAGTTAAGTCGATTAAGTTATCACTTTGTTATCAAACACGTAGTTTTTTGTGCAAAAATTAACTTCGATGGACGTTGTGCAAATTAATGTGTTTATCGAAAATTAAGGTTAAATGACTAATTGTGTTTATATAATAAATTAATCTTAATTTTTATTTAAAATGAATTTTAATTTTTGAAAATTTTAAAGAATTCTTATATCAATATTCATACAAAGAATGATGACAGAGAGGCATACACTCAAACACACATACATACAAACACACTTACATACAAACACACATACATACAAACACACATACATACAAATAAACACATACATACAAACACACATACATACAAACACATATACATACAAATAAACACATACATACAAATAAACACATGCATACACACACACATACATACAAACACAAATACATACAAATAAACACATACATACAAACACACATACATGCAAACACACATACATACAAATAAACACATACATACAAACACACATACATACAAATAAACACATACATACAAACACACATACATACAAATAAACACATACATACAAACACACATACATACAAATAAACACATACTCACACACATAATTATTTAAACATGTTTGATGAAACAATTCAGACATCTTTTGTTTGTTTATTTTCAATAATATCCTTTTCACTGTCCACGTATAAGCTTTGTTGTCTCATGATTAAAGACAAGGAAGGTACCGTCGTTGTTTTTATTCATTTTTATTTCTTAAGAGCTATATAATATAAATATTTTAGAGCATTTGTACTATATTCATGATTAATTTTGTTAAGTGTTGGTTTTAATTTTTTAATGAAGAGGGCTTCGAGAATTTTTAATTTCTTCTTATTATATTCTCAGTGAAGTATACGGGTATTGTCGACTAATATTCTTCTAAATTGTGATTGTGGACAGGGACGTTTTTGCAGACATTGTACAATGGACGATGAATCATGCATGTGTAGGGTGAACTCTCTTGGTAACGTTATAGTAGAATGACCAATTTATACATTAACATATTTGTTGGAGATGCAATCTCCCAAGGGACATTTAAATTGATATATATTGTTGGTTTCCTGCAGTACGTCAAGTGGTGTGGAGGAGTTATTACGGAGGGTAAAGTTAGTTGTATTAAATTTAATATGGTATATAATTAATTAATTTTTTTACTGGGATCTGTGGAGGATATATTAGTATTCATGAGTTTTTTATGATGTTTTCAGCTTATTTCTATTTAGAATGCATATAATTATGATAAAAAAGATTGATATGTTTAGGGTTATTTGAGGCGGTATTATGTTTTATTTGATTTATATTAAAATTTGTAATGGCCTTGTTTATTCATCAGCAATGTAGTTAGGAAAGTCATTATTAATAAGAGTCTCTTTAATGATTTTTCGTTCAGTGCAGAAAATCTTTTTTGAGGATGAGTTAACGTTAGCATGGTTTATTAAATTTTGTACAATAGCTATTCTGTAGTAGTTATAGCATTCACTCTTATAATTAAGGGTGCATGAGTTTATGCTATCAAGTTTTTTTTTAATGGAAAGGGTAATGAATGTAATATTATTGGGGGGTGTATACATTTGTCCATAAATATACCATTTCTTAAAACTATATTTTCATCATATATATATATATATATATATATATATATATATATATATATATATATATATATATATATATATGTATGTATGTATGTATGTATGTATGTATATGAACTAGGATCAAATAGAGATCAAATATGGATCGGGATTTGACAGAATTATAAGATAAAGAACAAATAGGAAAGGTTTATAAATCTAACATGTTTCGCTTTTTATTAAAGCTTCACCGGAGAATTAAATATAGAATAGAAAAAAAATTCTGCAATTTGTAATGAAGAAAAACTAAAGGTAAAAATACAAGAATTCTCTTTTTCTCCTCTATATATCATTTTAGATTTTTAAACGTTTCTTATTTTTTCCTTATCCTGTCATATATATATATATATATATATATATATATATATATGTGTGTGTGTGTGTGTGTGTGTGTGTGTGTGTGTGTGTGTGTGTGTGTGCGTGTGTGTGTGTGTAATCACTGTATATTTAGGCAGAAACCCATCATTTAAACGTACTATATTAAATAACACGGACACGGGATATTTGTTAAATTTTTTGTTTGTCTTGGATTAGAATCAGTAGTTTAACGGTGGGGGGGGGGGAATAACTTGTAAAGCTATTTGCTAAAATTCTGTCGATATTCTGAGCATTTTCGACCATATTTAATTATTTTCAAGGAAAGAAGGTAAAGGTCTACACATCGCCAGCAGAGCGTTTGTACTCTAATGATTCTCCACAAGCCAGAAACTTATAATTATACAGCCAACAGTAGTA